TACAAAATATCTTCATGGAACATGATCTTTACTTAATATCCTAATGATTTTTGGCATAAAAGAAAAATCAATAATTTTGACAGATACAATGTATTTTTGGCTATTGCTACAAATATACCCCAGCGACTTAACACTGCTTTTGTGCTCCAGGGTCACATATACCAAAATAAGAGATTTACAAGCAATTTTTAAAAGGCTGGTCATTTTTGACCAGGAACACCAAATTGCATAAAGGATTTTCAGCACAGCAGAAGGGTTAAAAAAAAATGAATAAACAAATGAAGTAAACACACAACATGTGTTTTCATGTACAGTACTCACGGAGTGACTGTTCTGGCGTCAGGACCAAAATAGACACCTCGGCCGATCCTGTCTGATCAGCGTCATCTGTGACCGTGAGTCTGAACTTATACATCCCCGGAGAAAGATTGGAGACTGTCACTGAATCCTCAAACGGCCCTTCCTGACAAAAAAATAAATAAAATGTATATTGTACATTAAAGAAATTTCAGTAACACTTTGCTTGAAGCCTATGCATACAATGCATGATAGATTATTTTTATTGCATTAATTATGCCCTGTAATGCACCTTTTAATGCACTGTATGAGCTATTATTATATCCACAGTTATATAATAATATTAATATTTTTTATTGTTACACCTTTTACTTGAAGCCTTTATATACAGTATAATGCATTAAAAAAGTATTTTACTTACTATTGCATTAATTACAATATATTTTAATACTTAACTATTCATTGTAACAACTTATAAAGTATAACTCATTAAAACACATGAAAAGAACAATATCGGTAACACTTTACTTAAAGCCTTTACATATAATGAATTCTAAAAATATTTTAATGCATTAATAATGCCTTACAATATTTTTAATGCATTAATTATAATATACAATTATAATACTCATATTTTCAGTTACACTTTTAGAAAGTATAATTAATTAAAATGCATGAAAACAACCAATTTCAACCAATATCAGTAACGCTTTACTTGAAGCCTTTATATATGTAATGCATTATAAAAATATTTTAATGCATTAATTATGCTTTATAATAATACACTGTATGAACTCATGAATAATTATTTAACAATTATTTGATCCACACTTACATTATAATACTTATCTATTCTTTGTTACACCTTTTGAAATATAACTCTTTAAAAAGCATGAAGAAGCCTTTATACATAACACATTAGAAAAGTATTTTAATTAGGGCTGATAAGCGAATAAAATTTTTAATCCAATTAATTACATGATGTGGCGATTAATTAATCTAATTAATCGCACATCAAATTTGGCTGGGAAATTACTCCCAAAAGATAATTTAAAGTCATTGTTGTGTAAAGCATCAAACAGACATTACAAAAAGTAGCTTCAGCAAGAAATATTTAGTTTGATTCAACATAAAATATATTACATATACTCTTTTGGACCATGAGGGTGAGTAAATGATGACAAAATTGTCATTTTTGGGTGGGTGAACTATACCTTTAATAATTTTTATTAATTTCTTTAATGAAATGATACTCTAAATAATAAACTAAAAACTGTCAGTAGATGGCAGTAAATGTCTTAATGAGTAAGCCATCGAGTCATTTATTCATTCGATTCATTCAAATGGCTGATTCATTCAGGAGTGAAGTAAATGGTTCTTTATTAATGGTCCATTGAATCATTAGGCTTGTTCGACTTGAAGCGGATCATCACCATCAGACCGATCGGTGTGTGACATCAAAGTACCGCGAGAGCTACAGAGAGCAGACAAATCCTTATGCTTTTGAATTGCTCTCGCGGTACTTTAATGTCATACACCAATCGATCTGTGCAGCGCTGCTTCAAATCCAACGCGCCTAATGCTTCACCCAATTCGTTCAAAACATGGATTAAGAAATGAAATGCAGCTGTGTTGCATATATTTACGTTGGCAAAACGGAGCTAAACAGACAACATTGTGCCTAAAATAACATAATAGTTAATATTAACTTCTTATTTATTGAACTGTTGTATAAGATCAGTATCACATTCGCACTCGTGTGATATTGCACTTATTGCTCGTGTGATATTGCTTAACTA